TGAACCGCATATCCTTGGCTGGGCAACTCCAAGGCCTCCCAGTACTGCATGGCCCCCTGGTATCTGTTCCACCCTCAGCCCCGTACCAGCTGTTCCATCAGACCTCCTGGATTCTTGCTCTCCCTCTTCTGATTTTCAGAGCAAGTGCTGACCTCCAAAGATAGCTTTTTCAATAAATCCGCACAGAAGTTCAGCAAGAACCAGGCGAGTCACCATGGTAACTAACCATTTCCACCAAACAGACGAACACTCACAGCTGGCAATTTAGAGAATAATGCTCCTGGTTAGCTTATTACATTTCCAACTAGAGGCAGAGGTCGAAGCGAAAGAGCTAATTGGGTGGCCGTTCCAACAATGCCTATTACAGGGTCATGTACCAGGCCTGCCGGGGGTCCGGCACCCCTCCTGTAATGCAGCGGACCCCAGCTGTCGGCAGACAGGGACTCCCACAGCCCAGGATGGCACAGAAAGCAACATGCTCGGCTTTGCTCTTCTCAGACTCCAACCTCCCTGCTCTTCAAAGGAAGAAGGCCCTGTGTTAGCGAGTTCTCGCGTGCTCTTTTCCAAATCCATATGCTAGTCTCTGCTGCCTTCTGAATAAATGATCGTTGGAAAGGAGTTGCATCGAAGACATGTCTTTTGAGTGCGAAAGCTGGAGGTCACATCCTGCCTGGCAGCTGCGAGGGTGAGATGGCAGGCTGCAGCTCTCATTCAGCCAAGTTATGAGCAGTACGTATGAACTGCGCTGCCGGATCTGACCCAAAGTCCATTCCAGTCCAGTCGGAGCGACTGATGGGCTACGACGGGCGGGTAGCACTTCCTTCCTCTGGTGACGACCGTAACATCAGTTAGCTCAGAGATACGCTGTCCAGAGTGGTTCCAGTACACAGAGCTGCCCCGAGCTAGGGCGATGTGGTAAGAAAGCCCCTGCTTTCGATGGATGGCGCTGCCTTGATCCCCTGAACGTGGAAAGAGCCTGAAGGCACCTTAAAAACCACTAGGTCCAAACCCCTCGTTTTACTGACAAGGAAACTAAGGCCCAGGGATTAGTGCAGCTGACGAAGCTGTCAACCAGGGACACAGGAACTCCTGGTTTAATGCACTTTCGCTCTGGCCTTCCTTCACAGACTGGCCACCCCTTCACTCCCTTCGGATGGTCTTCTCGGCACCTTTTGAAATGTCATTCTTTCTGGAGGTTTTACCAAAGCTACGCAGAGGAAGGCAATTTTCTCTCTTTTTTAAGCTTCATCGCTCATTTAATTATGAAGTTTTTGACCTCTACAGCAGTGAATTGAAAGGTCAGCAAACAAAGGCCTACAATGGCCTCCGGGTGCCGTTCTTGACTTACAGCTGAGAAACCCAAACCAGCGCCCTCTGAGCGAGTGACGCTGAGCTCTCCTGCTTCCTGTCTGTGCGCCCACGGCTCTGACGGCCCTTCGTAGGGCTCAGCCCCAACAGTGAGGCTCTCCAACGCCCATGTGACATCGGTACTCTTGCTAACACGTGGGCATCTAGGGGGCCTCTAGGCCGACTTACCTTTGCGTAGGCGGTTGTCTTAATAAACCACTGTTTGAGGTACTTCTGTTCCACCTTAGCTCCAGAACGCCACGAACAGCCATGTTCATCCACCTGCTCATTGGCAAGCACTGTTTGGTCCACTGGGTCCCAGTTAACCATGGCCTGTGATAATGCAGGAAACCAGGACGTGACCTGTAAGTACCTTCAAAGGATCATTTTGAGGCTTAACATGTACAAGGGCTTGCAAAGACAACAGCTCTGCTCTGAGGCTGGAGGGCAACTCCTCGGGGTGCTGCTTAGCCAAGAAACCGCAAGCACACGCACGCACGCGCACACACGCACACACACGCACACACTGCGTCTGCGCTTCCATCTGTTAGAACGGCCTTGGGAAGAAGCCTGGAGACATAGGTCTAGTTCAACTTTGGTGTCGTCTTGTATGAAAGGGTAAACTTGCAAGACCAGACATTTTAATAACCCAAGGAAAAGAAGAAAAAATGAGACCTACCCATGATTTAGCAGACAGGGCTGAGTTTAGGGGAAACAAGTGTATTTGCTTTAATAAGATGGCGAGCGCTGGGCGACTGCCATGGACGCGTTATGCTCAGTGGCTTACTGTGGTTGCCTCTGAATCCTCAAAACAATTGGGAGGTAAGCATAATGCTCTCCAATATTGCAGGAGAGGAATCTGAGCACTAGAGAAATGACAATTTATGTAATAAACCACGGTTTGAGATAAAGTAAGTGACAGAGTAAGTATTTACGTCTCAAGACCTACATTTTTAACAATTTTTGAAAACTCCTGTTTAAATTAAGGTATAACATAAGTAGAGTTACATGAATAAATTATTTTTGGAGTTTTTTTGTTTTGTTTTGTTTTTTTGCTATAGAGTACTTTTTTGCTATAGTGTGCTCGCTGGAGAGACAGAGACACAAAAAGTGAGAAATCACCCCCTCTGGGGGCTGCAACCCCTTCTTCTCCATTCTCTTCTCAGAATTTTAGGCATATACACACATGTGTCCAGTAAGAGTTTCAAGGCACTGGTCCAGGACTCGAACTGTGGTCGGCCATGTGGGAGTCTAGCACCTCAACCGCTATGCCACCTGCTGGCCCCAACCCGGATAAATCTTAAGCATACAAGATGAATTCTTCCATGGCTACATGCTTACCCATGGGAACCACCACTCACATCAGGGTACAGAGCATTCCCAGCACCCCAGGAAACCCTGTCTCACCTTCTACCCCTCAGCGTCCACCCAGCCGGCCCCTGGGGGAGCTACCTTCTGAGCCTCATGTCCTCCAGAGTCATCTGGCTGAGAGCCATTGGGGGCGTCTCTCAAATTGCTCGTTAGTATCCACCTTCATGTGAAGTGAGTACCTCTGCCATCAGCCCCACTCCTTCATGACCCTTAGATGCCACCTGCTACAGAGGTGGCAGTGAGCACACAAAGACCTGACTGGCACTGAAATATCCTGACGTGAAATACACTGTTTTTTAAAACTAGCCAGCAGGCCCAAAGACCTGACTGGCACTGAAATATCCTGACACGAAATACATTGTTTTTTAAAACTAGCCAGCAGGCTAGCCCTGTGGTCTGGTGGTTAAGGGCGCTGGCTCCCACATGGCTGACAGCGGTTCGAGTCCCAGTCTCAGTGGCTTGAAAGCTGCACTGGGTGCATATGGGTGCATGCCCAAGGCTCAGCGGTGTCTTCTAAGGAGATGGGAGATCTGCCAGAAGGTAAGGCTGCCAACTGAACTGAACTCACCTCCTTCTGATAGGCCAGCCCCGCTTCGTGGAGTTTAATAAAGAGGAACTGAGTCCATTTGTAGTAATCTGGCAAGCACGTCGTTATTTCCTGCCACAGAAGAGAAGAGGCCATTGTCAACACCCCCTGGCAGTGTGTGCATTCCCCGGCAGCTCAACTTGGAGAAGCAATCAAATCACAGACCTTCTGGCCTGTAACGTTCCAGCCATTTGCTAAGTGAGGGAAGCAGGAACTCGTTTTGGGAAGAGACGTCACTGAAACATGCCCTCACTTCTAGAATGCTCGATGACGAGCAGGTCAGCTCCAGCCTGCTGTGTAGACGAGCACCCACAGCCGCGCAGGCACGGACCTCCGTCGGGGCCACGAGGCAGGCTCGTGAATGGATCTCATTCTGAAAGCGGCCGGAGCACTGAAGAGGGGCATTTGCCTGCTTCAGTGCGCCCCCGGCTTGCGATATACAGCTGAGGCCTGGTGCTCCTTAGACTCGGCCTGTCCCATTTAGTGCATTACGGGAGTCAGCCTGTGTGTACTTGGGAAGACCATTTAAAAACATTATCAAATATCATACTTAGTGAGTAAATCACCCGGTTTACATTTCCAAGCCTAAACTTGTGCTCTCCAAAATTTATTTTCTGTCCGCACAAAACATTTGCTGCAGAGTTTTTCAAACAGGTCTTAATAAGCCCATGCATAAGGTTTGCAGATGACGGTCACATGAGCAGAAAATCCTATACATTATCACACATTTCTTTTCCAGGGCTCTGTAACTTCCCAGATGGGCTAACATGGAAGTGAATAAGGGGCCCGGCCGTGGTAGTGCCGGCGGCCAGAAGCCACACAAGTGACCTGAACACACACCGGGGCAGGCCCGCCCAAGATCCCTGGCACACTGGAGGCCTGTAGGAAGGGGACTGTGGGTGGCAATTTCTTGTCAAAGGTGTCATCTTTGCTTCTTCCCTCTCTCCTCTGTCTCGGTCTCTGCCCCTAAAGGTGTCGTCTTCGCCTCTCCGCTCTCTCCTCTGTCTCGGTCTCTGCCCCTAAAGGTGTCATCTTCGCCTCTCCGCTCTCTCCTCTGTCTCGGTCTCTGCCCTCCTGTGTGTCTACACTTGCTCTCTCTCGTGAATAAACATACGTACGTACATAGTGAGGGAGGGATGAAAGGCGGGACCACGCCAAGTGCTCCCACTCTTAGAAGGCACGCTTCCATCCAAAGCACAAACAAGCCCATCCTGCTTCAAGCGAATACGCGAGCGGAGCGTCAGGCCCAAGATGGAGGTGGGAGGTAGGGCCCGAGCAAGCTGTTGGGTACTTTTCTCAGAATTACCGGGGACTTTTCAGTGCTGTTTTGTAAGAACAGCAGAGTAGTGAGTATTAGAAAATACTATTATTATTTTTTTAGCGCAAATAACTCAACTCTGACCAGCAGTCCCACCGCCCCACTGCAAGGTAGGTGGAGACTAACTACCCATGTGACCGTTGTTCCTGCCCACATCGTAGCTGTTCTCTGCCACGCCAGGCCACGCCAGGCCCAGCCAGGCCACGCCAGGCCCAATTCCTGAGCCATGAGTATGACATAGCCCATACCAGCTCCTGGTGACTCCAAGGACTCAAGTCATCAGTCAGGTCGTCATGCACAGACCTCACCACCCAAAGAATGGGCCAACACATGGCACGGGCCTGCTCCCCACTACGGGCCTGCTCCCTGCTACGGGCCTGCTCCTCACTACGGGCCTGCTCCCCACTATGGGCCTGCTCCCCACTGTGGGCCTGCTCCCCACTGCGGGCCTGCTCCTTTATCCCAACCCCTTTAAGTTTAAGATTTTTATGTCTATCACTAGTTTTTACCTATTTGATGATTATGATGTTCTTTAGCCAAGAACAAAAATAAAGTATTTTTCTTATTCTATTGTTATAGCTTATGGATAAGTAAAAAGAATAGCAGCAATGAAGAAAAGAAGTAAAGGATGTTTTTTGGCTCCTGCACATTTCTTTAGATTAAGATTCATGGAGCTTCGGGAACCAGCAGTTAGCGTAATGGCTATGTCGCTGGACTCCCAATGTAGTCGACTGCGTTTCTTGTCCCGGTGCTCCCCACTGTGGGCCTGCTCCCCGCTACAGGCCTGCTCCCCACTGCGGGCCTGCTCCCAGCAGCGGCACATCCTCCCCCACTGCCTTGCCCTCCTAGTAGCCTCTCTTGCTGCCAGTGCAGGGAAGTCATTCTCCTCAGTTCTTTAGAGATAGAAATCCAGAGCAGGAGGAATATTTGGTCTGTTCTGTTTCCCTCTCGTCACAAGCTCAGGTCTGGGCTCGCCGAAGCACCCCAATACTAATGCTATGAGAATAAACTGAACAGAGGCTCATGGGCCCAACAGTAGGCTGCCCGGTCTCCCTGGAGCCAGCAGCATGGTGAGGGAGGCATGCCCAGGGGAGCCCTGGGTCTTGCAAAGAGCTTCCCGCTACCCGGCTCTGCCCACAAGCCAGGAGGCAGCACCAACGGGGTGAGACTTGGCACGACCACCAGGGCCATGGGGCGGCTGGGGCTGTGCTCCGACCCTTCCCCCCGTGCCTTCCTGCACTCTGCTTCTCCAACACGCCAGCGCCCACAGTAGCGTGCCCTTGTCTTTCATCCAAAGTCAGGTGATTCAAAGTCACGGCTCCGAAAGCAACTGCAATTCGGCCCGCTCCGCACAGATCTATCGAGGGGTCAACTTTTACATCCTCCTGAGCTCCAGACGGTGCGATCCGGCTGCCGAGAGACCAGACTTATGTACCTGGACCCCAAGTAGAGTCACCGTGCCACTCTGCAGTTTTCTGTCCACGGTACCCGACTGTCAGCTTTAGACAGATTCTTACCTTCGCTGGCAAACGCACAAGACGCTCTCCCTTAGAACTCCGAGGAAGCGCCAACATCGTGGGTTGAACCTGCCACCCACATCCCCACACCTCTACACAAAGTAAGAACAATGGCAGCCCGGCTAGCAGCTCCTGTGGCACGGTGACTTGGCAGTGACACAGCATAGACGTCGAGCCTCAGAGGCCCACCTCGCTGCCCAGTAAACAACATTTGGCCTTGAAGGGCAATCCTGGCAGCCGGCCACCTCCTGAATGCCCCATTGAGCTCGGGGGAAGCCAATCTGTGTGGGAGCCATGTGACGGGCTCGCCCCCAGCTTTGCGGCCATGCCCTTTCTCTGTCAGAGCCGTCGTGGGGGGCTGCCGTCAGGGTAAGATGCAGTGACAGGGGTGAAGCACAGCTGGGCCAAGGGGTACCACGCCCCGGGCTGTACTCTGAGTGTGATGGTGGGTGACCGCTCAGAGGCGGCTGATGCACCCGGTCTGGCTACCAGGGCACAGGGAACGAGCGGGGAAAGGGCCAGGGTAAAATATTTCCTAGCTCCTACAGATTCTGGCTTTCCAACGGAGAAGAGAGAACGTGTATGGGGCAGGGACCCAAGCACGAGACCAGCTGGAGAAATCCAGCCCAGCTGCCCATCGCTGGTGGCAGGCCACCACACGGAGAGCCACGAGCCGCCTTCCTGCTCTGGCAGGATTTGGTTGGGTCTCTGTTTCATGGTCCGGCGGCACCTTGGGCAGTGACTGGCCTCAGGTCACAGAAAGCCACTCAGAGCCACCATGCGTTCACCGGCCCTACAAGCCCACGATGGCTGGGTGAGCTATCAGAGCGGAAACCAAACCAACAACAAACACTTCTCGGGCACAGTGCCTTACGTCAGTCACGCGGAGGCCTCGCGTACCTTAGGAAAAAGCGCGGTCAGGAGGGTGGGCGGCCACCGGCGTCCCAGTTCCTAGTGACAAGCCGAGGCCCCCTCCCCGGGCTAGCAATGGGCCTCCTGCCTTCCGACAAGGTGTGGAGACAGGACAGCAGCCCCACGTGCTCTCGTGTTTTTAAAAAAGATCTTTTTGTTCTTTATCGCAACAGATCAGAAAGTATAGCGACGACCTTGTCTCTTGCTCCTTCCCAGGCTCTTCATTCTGAGGGCGGGGCCCTGCAGGCCGCGCGGCACGGGGGTGTGCGGAGCATGGCGCGCTAAGACTAGAGAACCAGCCCCAGCGCTGACACCAGGTGGCCCCGGCCAGGACGAGCGCTCAGCACCTGCTGTCAGAGGCCGTGACAATCTGCCCGATGAGCCCCGTCCAGCCCCTGCGCTAAGCCCTGTGAACCCTGCACCAAGGAGCACCGAGGAGCACCGAGGAGCACCGAGGGCGGGTCCCGCCACCCCGCCCCCTTGCCAGCCTGTGCCCTCCACACATCCCTGTGCGTTACCCTCGCCACAGCCTCCCACGATGGCGTACTGCCCCTGGTGCTAGGCAGGCAAACGCAGTGTGCCCACAAAGCTGGAGGAGCCCAAGTCGCGCGGTTTCCCCCTGGCCTGTCCTCCGAGAGCGCACGGCCACTCTGCTGTCAAACTGCCTGCCTCCCACCTGCCTCTAGGCTGGGCAGCACGCAAGGTCTGAGCGAGCCCCTCCTGTGCGGAGTGACCCCTGCAGCTGAGAAGTGACAGGACCCGTGTGCACAGGCCCCCCCACTCTGCGCTCACTGCCCCCGTCCCAGCACTGCCCCAGGGCGCACGGGCTCACCCTGCCCAGCTCCTGGGTGGCACAGAACCCGGTCCCGTGACTCAGGCTGTAGGCACCCTGCCAAGTGCAGCCCAGCGGTGCCCAGACTGACGCAGACGCCGCTTCGAGGAGGCGTGGAGAACCCAGGCAGATGAGTAGCTGGTGCACCCCTAGATGAAGAGACAGCAGGTGACACTCCCAGGAGTGATGACGGAGTAACTGCACAGGGACAGCTACCATTCCCAGGGCTGCCAGTGGGCCTGGCCCCTTCTCATTGCAGCCCCAGCACAAGGTTGCTACGGCTACCCAGTGTGGGCTTGCCCTCCCTGCCCCTCCCCCGCTCCCCTGCTTTTCCTCCCACGCTGCTTCTCAGTGCCGCGCAGTACCATTCCTTGCCACGGTCCCTGCATTCACCCCCAGCTGCGCAGCGGTAAGGTCCCTGCAGGGAAGAAGGGGCTTCTGTCCGGCTCCCCCACTGATGGACTGGGGCGCCACAGTGCCTACAAATGGTCGT